TGGGAGAGGAGGGGTTGGTGTCTTGCAGATGGATTTCCATTTCAGCTGAGAAATGGAAATAACTCCTTCCCTCCAAATGGGCCCATTTTACAGCAGCAATGGTACAATGCCATGATACCTAGGGGGTTCCTGTATCAGATATCATCCCCACAAACGTGGACTGTTCATCACTGGGATGCAGTGAGGGGAAAAATTCTTTTGGTTGGGAGTGTGAGATCAAAATGTTTCCAAGGAACAAAGCTCATACACAGGGCACACTTAACAGGGAAGGTTCCAACCCCAAAGTACCTCATCTCTGTCCTCCAACACAGCTAAGCTCTTTAAATGATGCATTTAAAGCTTACTTTTAAACACATCATGTGCATTTGCCTTAGACATGTACAGAAATCCCATGCTGAAGTGCCAGGGACTGAAGAGCTTTTCTGTGCTACATTTCCCTTCCATTTTCTCTTCTGAAATATCTTCGGCAGGTATTGCCTATGGACAGTCCAATGCCTTTCCTGCCATTCTGCGTGTCTCACTCAGCTGGCTAAACTGGGAATGCAGATTTACACAGACCAGGGAAGGTGGATCTGCTCCTCATCCTCACCTACCTCCAACGAATCTTTTGCAAGTGTAAACACCTCAGTTATTTCCCCAGATTAGGCCCTGTGAGTACATAGCTGAATCCAGAAACTGCTCAGGGAAACACATGCACTCTACAGACCCAACGTGAGTCTGCAGAGAGCATTTCCCTGCACAAAAATCCCTTGTTTCATAGTCCTACTGAAGCTGAGGAGTTTGTCATCATGGACTGTAACATTACAGGAACATTGGCAATACATAAACCTCAAGAAAGAAGAGATGTTAACCTGTGCGAACAGGGCAACATGCTGAAATGTCCCAAACACCCCATGGATCAGTGACCCCATGGGCAGGACCAGACACCCCAGAGAACACAGCACTGCCCAGGGCAGGCAGGGCTTCTCCTGAAATAGGTGCTCCCAACCATCTCTGCATCTTTCTGTTGTTATCTGGTTCCAGCTACCCCCAGGGGTGGTGAGATACCTGGCCTGGGTGTGTCCAGGTGAGCCCAGCAGACCTTGGCACATCCCAACTCCAGCAGAGAAAAAAGCCAGGACTCTCAGATGACTCTATCAGAAATGAGGTAGAGCAGTGGGAGGCAGCACAGCAAGGAGGTCAGGAAGCAAATAACCACATGTACTTTCCCAGTAATGAAATGACTCTTTCTCTGTACTCATCCTTGATGGGAAGTGACAGCCAAAAGAATCATTACTGGAGATGCCAACTTGGGAGTGCAACAGCAGAGGGAAGAAGGTTATTGGCTTAACACTGTGCCCACTGTGGCTCCAAAACAAATGAGATACAAAGGAAATGAAATGAGTTGACACTTACTTAGCCTCTTCAGAGAAGAATATTTGCTTGGGTTTGTCTTGACAGCAGACTCATAGGATGGTGGGAGGTGGGAGAGGTTCTGGAAGGAGCGGGAGAAGGACAGATCATAGGGTTCGGTGGCAGAAGTGAGGATGTTGTTCATTCGTGGCTTGTCTGCAAAACAAGAAAGGCAGGGCTGCAGTGTGCACCAAACCAGGAGAGAGGCAAGTCTTTCCCAGACTCCAGCAGGGAGGGAAGCTGTATCCCAGCCAGCCCCAGTGACAGGCTCCTGGACACAATTCAACTGGCACTGGCAGATCAGTGAGGAATGGAGCCTGTGGGCTCGTTTCCTTGTCCACGGTGATTATGGAGAGAGCAAACTGCTGCCTCGAGAGCACCTGGAGCTCTCCTCCCAGAGAGATGGGGCTGGGCTGCCTGTCACCCCTCCCCAAGGAGAGCTGTGTCACGGGGTGTGGAGTGACCCCACTGCAGGAGCTCAGGCAGCACCACAGAACCACAGAGTCACCAAGGCTGGAGGAGACCTCGAAGACCATCAAGTCCAACTATTAACCTGTCACTGCTGGAACCCCTAAACCAGATCCTCCAGTGCCACATCCAGACACTTCTTCAACACCTCCAGGGATGGTGACTCCACCACCTCCCTGGGCAATATCCCAGTGCCTGAACACCCTCACAGGGAAAACATTTCCCTACCATCTCCTCTGACTCTGCCCTGGCTCAGCTCAAGGCCATTCCCTCTCTCCTCTCCCTGCAGCCCTGGCAGGACACACATCCCCCACCTCTCTCCAGCCCTGGCAGGGGGTTGCAGAGAGCCATGAGGTCACCATGAGTGCAGGAACAGCTTCCCCTACCCTTGAGCACAGTTTGGCACCAGCATGGGATACCCCATCCTGTGGGACACCCCGTCCTGTGGGATGCCCAGCACTGCCAGCACAGCATGTGAGGAAAGAAACTGCTCTGCTGAGGACAGGATCTTCACACCTTCCTGCAAGCTCACTGCCCCCTGGGCTCTGGCAGGGACCAGCCCAGCTCTCTGCCACTGCATCATCTTGTTCCCAGTTCTGAGAAATTCCAAGGTACTTCCTTACAGAATGGTGAGATTTTTAATAACCATCTTGGCTAATAAACTCGTCTCCTATTGCTCTGTACCTCTCTGCACTCCTGGAACAGGGCGATTGCCTGGCAGAAAGAACATAGCCCCAAGTGAGCAGCTGGGAGTGTGTCATCTCTCGGAGAACATCGTTCTCCTGCTGCTGACTTCATGGCTAATAGACTGACTGCAGGATTAGGGAGTGCATCACATTCATCAGGGGCTGGAAACAATTGATTAGATATTATCCAGTAAACAGAGACTATATCAGCATTGAAACCATGTCCCTACTACTCCTTGTGCTTGTGTGGCAAAGGCCCTAGGGTGACATCTCTTTGCAAATGTCTCAGCCAAAACCTGCATCTAATCTCCATTTTCATGGAGGTTTGGACATGCTGCAATAAGCTCAGTCCTGTGGATGGAACTTGTGCTCAGTGCCAGAGCAGGAGCATTAATTGAGGGGTGTGAAATTAAGTGCCACACACTTCTCTGATGAGCTCGTGCACAATCACTGCACCTCTCACTGCCCTTCCCATCCAGTCAGGCAGGAACAGCCTGTAATGATTTTGGCAAACGAGAAGTCACCTTGAAACCCACTACCCATCATTTGCAAAATCAGGGATAAACTGAAATGACCAAAGCTAATTTCAGATGTCTTTTGCATAATGGAGTCTGAGGGATCAGAAATCTGAGAGACTCTAGGAAGGAGAAATATCTTGGGCAATTTATATTCTGGGCCCAGTTCAGCCGAAGTTTCTCAGCAGTTTTTCACTCCTGCAATATATTTGAGTCATGGTCTCCCTCATTTTTGTTTGTGGTGTTTGCTGGCTCCTATGGAAGATGCAGGACATTATTCATTGTCTCCCCAGTCCCTGAGGGGCAGCTGAGGGTGTACATTGCTGCGTGTGCTCATCCCAGTCCAGCTCTACACTATGGGCAATTGGAAATGACCCCTGAACACCAGCTGTGTCCCATGGTTCCTGGGATTACCATTGGAAGGATTGCTCTCCATTTTCCTCACCACTATCTAGCATTTTCTGCCCCTCAGATCCACCCTGGGCATGATTTGCTCAGGGCCTTGCAGAGGAACACAGAGCTGAGGCTCACCCAGCATGGAACACACACAGCAGCGATGGGAACATCAGCCAGCAGAGCTATTGGCTTGAGTCCTGAGCTCTGTGCACAGCCTGGAAACAGCCACACCTTGGCCCAGCCAATGCAGCACCTTAACGTGCAGCTGAGGCCTCTGATCCATTCAGGACAGACTCAACTCACCCTGCCCAGTGCTGTGCTGCCTCTGTGCCCTGGGGGTTGCAGGTGGAGTTGACCTCTGAGTGGACACATGGATTCACTCCATCCACTCATCTGCTGTGCACTCCATGAGGGACAGAAGTCCCTCTGGGCTGAGGGAGAGCCTCATTTCACTGTGCAAACCCTGCAAGCTCAGGGCTCACAAGCAGCTTCAGGATTTCTGGAGCTGGAGACCTGTGGAGATGAGCCCTGAAGTCTTCTTGGTGTGCCTTTCTCTGCCCTGTTCTTGGAAAACAGCTTCAAAGTGTGTTTACAAAAACATGTTCAAGGACAGGAGCAGATGATACCCCCCAAAAAAACGAACTGATGGCCAAGTTTTGAACAAAGCTCAAGTGGCACAAGGGATGTGCTGCACATTTTCATCTGATCTGCACATATGCTGTGTGAATTTTGCAAGACACTTCACCAGATGCCTTTGCAAACAGTCGCCCAGAGACAGCAAACAACGTCACCTAGGAGAGGCTGCTCCAGCCCAACCTTCTGCTGCTCAGCTGCAGCTCAGCACCTCAGCCCCTCCTGCTCCCTGGCACTGCTTCTGCTCAGCCTGGGGAAGGATCACACAGAATCTTCTTGCATTCTGACACGAGCTCCTGAACATTCCTCAGGACAATCTGGGAGCACTGATGACACTTTGGAGCCTTCTGTGCAGGCCTCAGACCTCCCAAGCCATCCTGAAGTGACACAGGCAAAGAACTGATGTTCACAGACTCAAATTAACATTTGTAACCTACATCTTAGTGTTTGGGGGGAACTATCTGTGTTTTCACACATGTATTATGTTACAAACACTGTTATTAATAGTCTGTTGCATCTCTCCTGAAGAAACTCAAAGAGGTTTCTACATTTCCAGGTCAGATCCTCTGTGGTGTAAATCAGCAGCTCTCCAGCGAGTAGCTGCCCTCATTTATAGGAGCTGGAGATGTGGGATGTGATAAAAACCCTCTGCTTGTCAGGATGGTGCTGGGATTAGGTACTTCAGGGCTCAGGGCTGAGAACTGAGCAGCAGCCTGAAAGAGGAAGATGCAAAGAGGAAGAGGAAAGCCAGCAGATTGCAGGGTGATGCCTTTGAATATGACAATCCATACACACAGCATGATAATAGTCCTGAAAGGAATCACCCAGGAGCTCTGAATGCTCCTGAGCACATAAAGTGCTTAACTGCACATTGCAGAGCCACACAGCACAGCTCAGGGTGAGAGGAGTAATCAGAGAGTCACAGAATGTGAAGGGGTCGGAATGGAGCTCAGAGCTGATCCAGCCCCAACCCCTGCCCTGGGCAGGGACACCTCCCACCAGAGCAGGTTGCTCAAGGCTCATCCAACCTGGCTGTGAGCACTGCCAGGGTTGGGGCAGCCACAGCCTCCCTGGGCAACCTGGGACAGTGTCTCACCCCCCTCACAGGGAAAACTTCTGCCTAAGATCTCATCTCAATTTCCTCTTTCCATTTCTCCCATTGCTACTTGCCCTGTCCCTGCAGCGTCCTCTGCCGCTTCCCTGGAGCCCCTTCAGCTCCTGGCAGGTGCTCTGAGGTCTCCACACATCCCAGCACAGAGGTTGTCTCTGCACTGTGGGGCATTGTCAGCAATGGGCAGGACAGGGAAATGGTGATCCTGCTTCATGAATGATTTTGCTCCAATCTGCTCTGTAATTCCCTAACTGGAGCTGTATTGCAACACAACAATCTGTGTACTTTGCAAAGGTGGTGAGCAAAGCCAGGAGGCACCAACTGGCAGCTCCAGCCCAAATGGCACCTTGGGTGCACCAAAAAGCTGCTGCTCTGTGCTCCAGCCCTACCAGATCTCCTGGTTCCTCTTGCTCCTCACTTTCCCAGCCCTGTGCCCTGCAGGGCAGCACTGCATCGTGTCTGCCTGTTCTGGAGGTTATATCTTACAGAGCTGCTTAGCTTCCCTTTCCTCATGGATTTCTACTGGGGCTAAATCTAATTGTAACAGTCCCTAATTGTTGTGATTTTGTAAACAGTGTCTTAAACACAATAGGCACAAAACTCTCAACAAATTGCTGGAGGAGATGTGACAGAATAGGGAATCATTCTCATTTCTTCTGGGATTGGCCCAAATTGAAGCTTCTTGGTCTGATGTTAGCAAATTGATGCAAGAATTATTTCAGCAATATATCCCCCAAAGGCCTATTAGTGTGTGGGAAGGAAGATGGCCTGGATTCCTGAGGTGGAGGGAGGGGAAAGGAGGAAGGAAGGAAAGAACAGAAAGAAAAGAGAGAAAGACAGAGGGGAAGAAAAAAGAAAAAGAGAAAGACAAAGGGAGAGGGAAGGAAGGAAGGAAGGAAGGAAGGAAGGAAGGAAGGAAGGAAGGAAGGAAGGAAGGAAGGAAGGAAGGAAGGAAGGAAGGAAGGAAGGAAGGAAGGAAGGAAGGAAGGAAGGAAGGAAGGAAGGACACATACATGTATGTCCATAGGAATCTGATTAAAGTCCATGTGAACACAGCTCTGAAATGAAACTTGCCTCCCTCAGATCAATCCCAGACATCACCTGTGGCAAAACACTTGGCCAAATTAAAAACCTGAAGTAATTTGCCACTTCTGGTGGTTTCCTGAGTATTTTCAGAGCTGATTGTCAAATGCAATTAACTGTCATGAAAATTATGCCATCGACTTCCTCCTAACTGTATTATCTGGCAATGTGCTTGTTATTTATATCGATGGGGGAAAGTGTTCAGAAGCTACTCTTTGGGTTAGCATAATTATATATGCACCAAATCTAATGAGATCAAACTTCAGCAGCAGTAAAAAATAGAGTAATGAGCTTGAGAGAAACTGAGTTCAACTCTATATGTTACAGCTAATGCTCCTGCCTCAGCTCTCTTTTGTGCCCCCAGCTTAGATTTTCCTTCATATTTTAATGCTTTTAGAGGAAAATCATTTATTTTGTATAAAGGCTGAGCAGCTAAGCAAGATCAATTAATGTATCAAAAGATTTAGCTTCATTTCATATGGAAAACTTGGTTGTGCTTAGAGCCTAGTCCTTGTTCCCTCCCACTCACCTTTTCCACACAAAATCACTACGTTCCCTAAAAGTGCTGCAGAGTTCTTCTAGAGTCTGTGGAAATGGAGTAATAAAGCCTAGAGTGAAGGAAACCCACAGGAAAATTCTGATTGCAGAGGAACTGGGGGCTGAAAGCAGAACTTAGGCTGAGGTTTCTAAGGGACTGGAGACACCTCTGTCATGGGACACTTGTTCTGGAAGTGATTTAGGGGCAGGAATAGTCCAACAGCAGAAGAAAATCAAGGGTCTTCTTTAAGATGTAGGTGCTCAAAGTTACTCTGGCTGATCCAGAGCCCTGAACAACAGCAGAAGTTAAATCCAGCCATGGGTTGGCACTCGCAGGATCACAGAATCCCATCACAGCATCCCAGACTGGTCTGGGTCGGAAGGGCCTTAAAGCTCACTCCAGCCCTGCCCAGGTTGCTCCAAGCCCCATCCAACCTGGCCTGGAGCACTTCCTTTGACTCACTTGCCAGTGGTCATTTCTCTTGCTCTCCATTGGAAATTGTCTTCCCAAGCATCTCACGTTTTCCAGACACATATCTCCCCCGTGCACAGCCTCTGTGCCAGCCAGGCAGGGAGAAGAGGGAGACTTTCTCCTCCCTCTGAGTTGTGCTGTGAAGAGCACTGTGCTAATTAGCTGATAGCAGCCTGACAGAACAGATTATATGCAGTCCCACCCCTAATTAGTGAGCATTCCTTCCTGCAGTGGAAGAGTTCAGAGTAACCACAGCCCTGGGATGGGCAGAGCTTGGCAGTGAGCAGCTGAGGCATCCCCATGCCAGGTTAAACCAGAGAGCCCCGAGGGTTTAGCCCTGGCAACCTGCAATTGAAGCAGAACAGCTCCAGGAGCTAAGGTCAGA